TTATCTACAAGCAGAACAACAACATTTTGAACCATTCCAAGACTGTATAAGGCTCTTAAATTGAGAAAAACTGTTTTCAGTCCTGAAATGGTCAGGTAGGCTGTTCCACAGAGTAGCAGCTGCAAATTTAAAACTTTTCTTACCAAACTGTGTAGTTTTTACATGTGGTATATCCAGTATATTACTATATCTGAAAGAATATTTACAATCTTTTATATTTAATAAATCATGTAAACAGACAGGTGCTAATTTATTGACTATATTATAAGTTTCAATTGCCATAGATCTTTGTCTTTTAATATGCAGTGAAGGCATCTTAGCCTTTTCAAGCAACTGTTGATATGAGCTTGAATGGTCTTCGTACACAAATCTGGAATATTATTTCCACTGGAATAAATATTACAGTAAATGTTCCTAACGGAATAAATGGTATAGAATATTTGTTCCAACAGGAACAGATATTATGACATTGTTTATAACAAAGTTTCCGGTGGAACTTCTGTTAGGCGGAACAAATATACGTTGACAGAAGAACGTGTTGAAAAAAAAATGTTCAAACTGAAACTTCAGCAGAACTCATAGAATCGCAATAATTTCTAGTGTTGTTACTGGTTTTGAAGTAAACGCCGAAGTAGACAAGGACAATGGCGTCTGTATTAAATGTTTTAGAAAAGTCCAACAGTCAATCAAATTAAAAAAAGATGCATTAAAAATGCAAGAAGAACTAAGAGACTAACTTCGGGTGTCTTACCACCTGACCAATCAGAAAGATTAATTGCTAATAGATTTGTAAATCTGCAAGGTGGAACAAACAATAATATAAGCTAAGATGAATACTTAGAGATGTTGAACAAGGATACAAAAGTAACATGTTCAGGACATCAGACAAAGGAAAGTATCCTTCAACACTCTAAAGAGTATCCTCACCTAGTTAATTTTGCAAGCCATTTTGATAACATTACCAATTTAACAGGAAAGAAAGGGTTCCCCCATATACCGTCATACCAAGCTGATGTTCAGAAAATTGCAAAAGACCTACTACACTACAAGAAAATGTACTAACATATAAAACTTCAAGAATAATTAAGTGCAAGGAGCTAAAAAAAAGACAAAAACCCATTTGACAGTGCATTTATAGGACTTCGTACATTGATTCATTGACATCAACCAACAGTCCCCTTCCATCACCTTCGAAACCCACATATTTGAAAAATATTGCTTGGAAATAAATTATTGTGAATAAAGTGTGCAGGTTTAATTTTCTCTTAAGTCATAACCTTAATTAGCTGGTACTTTTTTTAGTAGTTTGTTGCTGATATTAAAAAAAATGTGTGTCATAAGTCAATGAGACATCAACCCAACAACAAAGTAATGAAATACTTTCAGTTTAGTGGCAGAATGTCATGGTCATTTTGATTAGGCAGCATAACTACCTACACAAACATGTTTATAAAAATGTGGCATGATTTCTAACGAGACAACTATTCAAAAGGGACCAACTTATTTTTCTGTATTAAAGTTCACAGTTCCACCTCTGACTTTTGAGTAAAACCTATAGCAAGCTATAAAAAGGCCCGAAATAACTTTATGAAAACATCAAGCATGTTTGTACAAAACAACAATGAGATAAAAACCAAACTTTTACAGATTTGTTCACAAGGCGACCAGCATGTGGATATTTACCCTATATGTATATGTAAAGAGCTGTTGATAAAACTTATACAAGGTGGTGTTGGTTAAATGTGCTTTCCTGACTGATGGAGTTATTATTTGGTTCAATTTCTATCTAAGTCAAATTAAACACAGTAACTTAATATAATAAAATGCTCCGCTGGGCGCAGCTTGATACGACCGCAGAGGTCGAACCCTGAACAATAGGGGCAAGTATGGACACAACATTCAAGCTCTGAATTTGGATTGTGATTAATATTTGACACTGCATAGGTTTCTGACACAGAATGAATGTGGTCTAAGAACTTATAAATTTTAAATTTACCTATTCAAACCATATCATTATTATTTGGTTTTATATATAAATCAGAAATAACAAATTTAAAATGGAAAATTTTAAAGAAAAAAAGGGAAAACAAATCCCTACCACCCAAATTTTTGAACCCCCTTATGATTCATCACCCCCAAACTCAATCCCAGCCTTCCCTTTGTGGTATGGTACCTTGCTGTACAAATTCTGAGAGATCCATACACTTGAACACAAGTTATTGACTGGAAACTAGAAAATTGCTTGTTTTTTTGGCCCCTTTTTGGTTTAAAATTTCTAAACATTTAGGAAAATTACCCCCAAACTCAAACCCAGCTTTCCCTTTGTGATATGGAACCTTGTAGTACAATTTCAGAAAGATCCATACACTTACACACAAGTTATTGTCATGAAACTGAGAAATGCTTCTTTTTTGCCCCCTAATTACTAAAATTTTGAGGCAATTACCCCCAAAATCAATCCCAGCCTTCCCTTTGTGATATGGAACCTTGTGGTACAATGTCAGAGAGATCCATACACTTACACACAAGTAATGTCTGGAAGTTACAAAAATGCTTATTTTTGGCCCCTAATTCCTGAACTGTTGGTACCATAACCCCCAATTCAATCCCCACCTTCCTTTTGTGGTATTGAACCTTATGGTAAAATTTCATGGAGATCCATTCACTCAAACTAAAGTTAGAGTGCGAAAACCAATGTGTCTTCGGAGGACGACGACAACGCCAACGTCATACCAATATACGACCGCAAATTTTTTTGTGGTCGTATAAAAAAGAAGATGTGGTATTAAGTCTATATTTGACGGTTTTCTTGATGAACACATTGGTCTTGAACAAAGTTGTAAGTAAGATATAGTCCCACTGCTTGTTATTGTCTTGAATATGCATGAAATATTTGCCACTGAAACCCAAGTGAAGAAATCAATAATCAATCAACCTGTCAATGTTTATTTTGAGCAAAATAATCATCCTCTGTATACTGTTGGCTACACCAAGTTAAATACAATGAGTTTGCTATATAGAACAAATATAACATCAAGAACAATGAACAAAAAGGTCAAAGCCATACATGTCATATGAACCATGCCAAAATTTAGCACAAAAGGACATACATCAATAGCAATAATTCTGTACAATAATACACCAAAGATAGTTGACTTGTTGATCAATAAACCATGAAAAGTCAAGGTCAGAAACCAACCAGACTGATTTTTATAGTTCGTTCCTGTGTTGTACTGTTACACCACTGTCCCAGGTTAGGATCCTGCTAACATGTTAAACCCCGCCACATTCTGTATGTATGTGCACGTGCCTGTCCTAAGTCAGGAGCCTGTAATTCAGTGGTTGTCGTTTGTTTATGTGTTATATATTTGTTTTTCGTTCATTTTTTGTACATAAATTAGGCCGTTAGTTTTCTTGTTTGAACTGTTTTACAATTGTCATTTCAGGGCCTTTTATAGCCGACTATGCGGTATCGGCTTTGCTCATTGTTGAAGGCCGTACGGTGACCTATAGTTGTTAATTTCTGTTTCATTTGGTCTCTTGTGGAGAGTTGTCTCATCATGCTCATTGGCTATCATACCACATCTTCTTTTTTATATAGCATGTACATCTTACAATAATTCCACTCCAAATATATTTTTCTCTTTGTTTATCATGTTTATAGTAATCGAGATGCAGACTTGACCCCGAATATATGCTTGTTTCATGAAATGAGGTCAAAATTAGGCGAATCTGCAACCATATCTGACAGACATGGTTTTCTCTTTTGAATTTTTTTCATATTTTTCTGGTCGGGGCCTTTTGTAGCCGACTAAAGGCATGGGTTTTTCTCGTTGTACTACAATTGCTTATATCAAGTTATTGAAAAGTCTGGAGGGTAGTTGTCTGATTGGCAATCATACTGCATCTCTTTATTTTTAAGATGAAAACTAGTAACTATCTTATGATGTGTGTCATTCAGTTACTGTCTCATTTGTTTTTATACGCTACATCTCTTTTTAGTCACATTGACAGCTGCAGGCATGACATGACCCAGATCTAGAGTGGCAATACAGCAATTGTAAGGGGGTTAAAAGTCAAAAAAATTTGAAGAGTCTTAAGTTGAATAAGTTACAGCAACCAGATACTGAAAAATTAAATAAATAAATATCAACTGTTTTAATCATCTTGTATTTCTAATAAAGCCATATCAAGATCTTCGAAGTATTCATAGGCAGATAAATTGTAGTCTTCAGTATTTCTATCTGATACAGCAGAATCTTCTTGCTCCTCAACAACTTGTTCTGACAGAAATAACTTCTCAAGAGGTAACATATCACAGGATTCACAATTACAAGACTTAGCACACAAGTCACAGCATGAATGCTTCCTGCTTTCTTTCTTCATCAAATCATCCAAGTCTGAATTTCTGAGAAAATTACACATCAGATCCTTTCTCCTACAATCTTTAGCTTTAAGAATTGCCTTAACTTCCGGTTTCAACTTCTGCAAGTGGTATCCATTGTATAGGATAATGGCAACTGATGGATTTCCATCACTCCCCACTCGCCCTATTTCTTGCAGCAAATCTACCAGATTATTTTGAGGTCCAAATAATACCACTCCACTACACAAACCCATTCCCAGGGCACTGGTTGACAAAATAAGTCTCAAAACACTACTTTCCTCCTTCAATGCATTAATTATAATGTTTTTGTTAACATCTGGAGTTTCAGAATGGAACATCTCAATATACTTGGCACAATGTGGCAAATCTGTTACAATGTATTTATAAAGTTTGGAAGTGTCATTTATCGATGAACAATACAAAAGTGTACGTGGGAAGTCCTGTCTTTTTTCCTCTTATGCATCTACTGACCATGTCATTCCCATTTCAATTTCATTTTTAATTTTGGAAGATACTAGTTTAATATTAGACTTGTTTGGTGATAAATTAATTTCTGTTGTGTCCTCCCCTAGCTGCAATATTTTCATGAGTTTTTTCCTAAAGCTTACAGTGCAAGTTGCACTTAAAGCCAATACTGTAGCATTGGGAAAGAGGGATCTTAGTTCACCTACATTTGAAAACCATTTCGGAAAGCCTCTTTTCTGTCTCCTTCATCTTGGCCCCTGAAAGCAAAATAGAAATAAGTACATCTATAAAAACTTTTATAAAAGGTAAATATCAGCACCTCTTGCCTAGTTTGTTAATTCTTATGGCAAAACAAAAATAAATACATGTATGTGCATGTCCATATTGTTATGTAACAGCCTATCATTCAGTGGTTGTTGTTGGTTGCTGTCTAGCACATTTATTTAGGGTGTTATTTTTCATACATTCTTATAATTACATTGTAATGGTTCAACATTTTGCAAGTAGTGGTCTTAAAAGAGCTTACTTTTTAGTATTAGGTTATCTCGTTCTTGAAAGCTGTACAGTTCTGTACCAGTGGTCTTAATTTTTTACTTCTATATTTTTGAAAATCTAAAATTCATAAAAACGGGAAGGGAGTACACATCAATATATAGAAACAATTCATCAAAGTTTCATGCAAATTCGTTGAATAGTTTTTGAGTTACTGTCTGACATGTTGATGATTGACAGACAGTCACAGGTTAGGGGAGGGTTGGGATCCCGCTAACATGTTTAACCCTGCCACATTCTGTATAGTGCCTGTCCCAAGTCAGGAGCCTGTAATTCAGTAGTTGTCATTTGTTTATGTGTTACATATTTGTTTTTCATTCATTTTTTGTGCATAAATAAGGCCGTTTGTTTTCTCGTTTGAATTGTTTTACATTGTCATTTTGGGGCCTTTGATAGCTGACTATGCGGTATGGGCTTTGCTCATTGTTGAAGGCCGTACGGTGACCTACAGTTGTTTATTTCTGTGTCATTTGGTCTCTTGTGGAGAGTTGTCTCATTGGCAATCCTACCACTATTCTTTTTTATATAGACAACGGTATACCATAATACGTCCTGTAAATGTGCGAATAGAAATGAACATGGGGAATAAACATTGTATCCACTTACCAAATTGCTATTGTGTGAAACTCATCAATTACAATCAACTTAATGTTCAACTTCTTTAAACAAGTTCTCCAATAGGGATCACCAACCAATGTTTCTGGAGATGCAAAAATGACATCTATCAACCCCTCTTTGATTCGATCGTCACTCTGGGGGGGGGGGGGGGGGGGGGGGGGGGGGGATGATCCTAAAATGCAAAAAAAAAAATGTAGGTGGGCAGTCTCCAAAAAGACATATTTCTATGATAACTTCTATAATTTAAATGTACACAAAAATGTACTGTACAAATACCCTTTATCCATTTCACTGCGTTTGATTAAAGATTGAAATCCAATGAAATAATTCTTATTGTTGTAAAGTCCAATACAGAAATGAATATAGCTGAGATTTTCAATGAATGCATGGCATATTTTCTCGATTTTGAGATGTTTCTGCCAACTTACCTGTTTGGCCATCCAACAAGGTCATTTAGACTGCACTTTTTCATATTTTCTTTTATTTTTTCATTGTTTAACACAGATAACAATCTAATTTAAAAATTAAGTTTCCCGCACGTTTCTGGGCCATGTAAAGCTGACTATGCTGTATGATTTTGCTCATTGTTGAAGGTCAGATGGTGACCTATTATAGTTGTAAACTTTGTCATTTGTTGTCTGGTGGAGAGTCGAGTTGGCAATTATAGTCTTGTACATGTACGACATCTTCTTATTTTTATATGCATGTATATTTGTTTTGAGATAGATTATTAGTACATGTAATTAACAACATTTCCCTTGGACTCTGGTGCTTCATTAATACAACATGTAGTATATATCTTTATACAAAGTATGAAGAACTAGCATTATGGCCAAAACGACTGTAAAATACTGGCAATATGACCGATACAATCTGTTCTCGGTGAAATGAGACAAATTTATGTGCTACCATGGCTACGATCTACTGCTTCTGCAGTTTTTTTTTAACTTTGCTCATGTATATCTAAGTTTCATATTACTGATTTGTTACTGTTAGTCATGTGTATGTGTTGATATACTGAAGTTTAAATGTATGTTCCTGCAAATAAATTTTATTTTATTTGATAAGGCATACATGTACATCTTTGCCTGGTCAGATGCGGATCCAGGACTATGGAAAAGGGGGGCCCTGCATCTAGGCACCATAAGGTGTGGGAATAACGTCTTAAGATAAGAGTCATTGCATTAATTATATAAGTAGCTCAAACAGCATAGGTGGATCCAGGGGGGCCTGGGCCCCCCTTTTGAGGGAAAAATTTAGTTGATTATATAGGGAATCACTGAAGCATGACTGGAGCCCCCCTTACAAAAAGTTCTGGATCCTCCACTGTACAGGGGGGTAACATGTCACCCCCTAACTGATTTCTCAGGTGTTATAAACATCTTTATTATACAACACTGCCAACATAATAATTATAATATAAATTAGGTGTTTAATGGCATTAAATACTAATACATGTAGTATAGACTATTCCATTTATTGAAGCCTTACTACCACTGCATGCTTAAAGTTATACTAACCTTTGTATTCTTCTTCTTCTTCTTTCAGTAACTTCCTCCTGTGGTTAGGAGCACATCAATTTCTTGATTATACACAATGGGCTTATATTACACGGACTTATACAGCTAAAATCACTTTGTTATTTCCCAGTATAAAACGCAATTGCATATATTAAAATACGATGGGCTTATTTTACACGGACGATATTAAAAGTTATTCACTTTGATACTTCGTTAATAAAATGCTTCGCTGGGGCGCAGCTTGATACGACCGCAGAGGTCGAACCCTGAACAGTTGGGGCAAGTATGGACACAACATTCAAGCTTGATACAGCTCTGAATTTGGATTGTTATTAAATATTTGACACAGCATAGGTTTCTGACACAGAAAGAATGTGGTCTAAGAACTTGAATTTTTTTAATTTACCTATTATGGTCCAATGTCCAAAATCAAAATACATGGTTAGATTCAGCATATCAAAGAACCCCATATATTCAATTTTTGTTAAAATCAAACAAAGTTTAATTTTGGACCCCAAGTTGGACCAACTTGAAAACTGGGCCCATAATAAAAAATCTAAACACATGTTTAGATTCAGCATATCAAAGAACCCCAAGAATTCAATTTTTGTTAAAATCAAACTAAGTTTAATTTTGGACCCTTTGGACCTCAATGAAGACCAATTTAAAAAACAGGACCTAAATTAAAAATCTAAAAACACGGTTAGATTTTGCATATCAAAGAACCCCAATAATTCAATTTTAGATGAAATCAAACAAAGTTTAATTTTGGACCCTTTTGACCTCAATATGAACCAATTTGATAGCGGGGCCTACAAATAAAAAATCTAAATACATGGTTAGATTCAGCATATCAAAGAACCTCATATATTCAATTTTTGTTGAAATCAAACAAAGTTTAATTTTGGACCCCAATTTGTACCAACTTGAAAACTGGGCCCATAATCAAAAATCTAAATACATGTTTAGATTCAGCATATCAAAGAACCCCATATATTCAATTTTTGTTGAAATCAAACAAAGTTTAAAATACTGGACCCTATCTTGGACCAACTTGAAAACTGGGCCCATAATCAAAAATCTAAACACATGTTTAGATTCAGCAAATCAAAGAACCCCAAGAATTCAATTTTTGTTAAAATCAAACGAAGTTTAATTTTGGACCCTTTGGACCTCAATGTAGACCAATTTAAAAAACAGGACCCAAAATTAAAAACCTAAATACACGGTTAGATTTGGAATATCAAAGAACCCCAATAATTCAATTTTAGATGAAATCAAACAAAGTTTAATTTTGGACCCTTTTGACCTCAATATGAACCAATTAGATAACGGGGTCCACAAATAAAACATCTAAATACATGGTTAGATTCAGCATATCAAAGAACCCCATATATTCAATTTTTGTTGAAATCAAACAAAGTTTAATTTTGGACCCCAATTTGGACCAACTTGAAAACTGGGCCAAAAATCAAAAATCTAAATACATGTTTAGATTCAGCATATCAAAGAACCTCATATATTCAATTTTTGCTAAAATCAAACAAAGTTTAATTTTGGACCCTTTGGACATTAATGTAGACCAATTTGAAAACTGGACCCAAAATTAAAAATCTAAATACACTGTTAGATTCGGCATAACAAATAAATAAATGTGATCAAAGATTTTACAAATCTAATGCGCCATACTGTGCAATTAAAAATTACTTCTTGAAATTTTTCAATATTTGAAATTTGAAAAAAAAAACATATTTGAAGAATAATTCTTTTTAATTTCTGAAATCTGAAATGAGAAAAAATTGGCCCCCACAATTTCTTTTTATCCCCCCCCCCCCCCCCCCAAAAAAAAATTCTTTCCCTCAAGATATGGTCATAATCTCAATTCAAATTTCCAATGGAGTTGGCAACCATAATTACCCATTTAAATTTACCATAGTGCTAACTTAATCTATTTTATAATAGAATTAATAAAAATATAGTGTCAAATCTTTCATATGGATTTTTTTGTAAAAAAAAAAGATGAAAACATTTGTAGATATTTTTACTGGTCTTCCTTTATAAATATGCATTTCTTTAAACATAATTTAAAAGCAGTGTAAGGGAAGTAACCAAAACGTTGTATTTGGATTACCTCCCTTACACTGTTTTAGATTATATTTATTGTTCATTAACCATTACTTTATACATAATTTAAAAGCAGTGTAAGGGAGATAATTTCAATGATGTATTTGATTTATCTCCCTTACACTGCTTTAAATTATGTTTTGTACTAAAGTATTTGTCCATTAACCTGGACAACCTTGTTTTTCCCCCTTTTTTGCCCCTAATTCCTAAACGGTTTGAGCCATAACCCCCCAAAGCAAATCCTAACCATCCCTTTGTGGTATGGAAACTTGTAGTATAATTTCAGAGAGATCCATACACCGTTCCACAGTTATTGTCTGGAAACTAGAAAATGCTCATTTTTGGCCCCTTTTTGGCCCCTAATTCCTTAACTGTTGGTACCATAACCCCCAAAATCAATCCCAACCTTCCTTTTGTGGTATTTAACCTTATGGTCAAATTTCAAAAAGATCCATTCACTTAAATTAAAGTTAGAGTGCGAAAACCAATATGTGTTCGGACGACGACGCCGGACGACGACGACGCCAACGTCATACCAATATACGACCACAAAATTTTTTTGCGGTCGTATAAAAATAGTCTAAAATCTAAAATGACACTGATTCACTTTATGACATTAGTAAAACCGTGGTCTGACACTATTAAATATGTCTCTATATTCTAAAAGGCATCAGCTATCACTTTGATACAGCAATTGTCTGTATATTACGTATATTATTGTTAATATCAACGTATTCCCAAGTACATATATATCTCAACTGTCCTCCATGTACTTCTCACTTCTAACTGTTCTTTATGTACGCCACTATTTTGTGCTCTGAAAAGGATCGAAAGAAAGCTCAATTCCATGTTATTATTAATGGATGTTTATATTATGATAGATCATTAATCTGACTTAACCTCTGTTGATGTAATTTATCACACAGATTCCTAGAAATTGTTTCAACCATATTTAAAAAATTGTTGTCGTTTGGAAGTATAGAACCCGCTAGTTTTCTGCAGTCAACAATTAATTGGCTTAATGTTTCCCTATTTTGAAAATTTGTTTTCCACTGATCAATCCCAATTTTATTTATAACAGCCTGTTTTAATGGGGCATAAAAAGTCCTACGGACCCCTTCCAGAGATGGACAGCTAGTTAGGAAATGTAGAAGGTTTTCTTCCTCGAGTTTGCAAAGGGGACAAATTGAGTCTGCACTTCCTATATTAAATTTAGCTTTGGTTGATTGTAAAAGGTAGGTCCCAGTTAGTATTCTAGCTTTTGTTATGGCTTTCTTTGTATCCCCCGGAATTTCTGTTGCTGTTTTCCAAACTGGATGTATTTCTCCTATATTGATAATGTCAGTACAGAGCCTAATCAGGGTTGATTTTTCTCTACTCAAAGACCTAAATTTATTACTCCAAAATGTATTAATAGCATGTCTAACGGATTGTTTCCATTTAATTTTTGTTGGAAGAAATATTAGAAGCTCATCAATGCTTGGTAGGCTATATTGAAGCAGGACATTTTCTGTTCTGTGTAGAAAAGTTCCATTGCAAATTTCTAACCGGTACTGACGCAACAAGATATCCCTAAGATTTTGATTTTCAGACGCTAGGATTGAATGCAGAAGGCTTAATTGTCTTTTGTGGAGCTCGGCCTCTATAGGGAGGGCACCCAGTAGTGAGAATACTGCAGCAGAAGCTGTTCTTGTTGGAAGAGCCTGAAAATTTTTTAAGAAGGATAAATGGAAGTCACCCAAGTCGTTGATTTGGCTGTTCGTAAGAGGTAAAACTTCTAGACTGTAGAGCAGACGGGGTCATATGTAGATTCTATAAATACTATAGGAAATCCTTGGATTCAAGCCATTTGTGCCATGTACACCTGTTGACATAAGTGAATAGGTTGTTCTTCGGGCTAAACTAATGCGGTCTTTCACATTTATTATATTTTCATTTTTTGATGATCTTATAATACCTAGATGTGAGGCCTTATCTGTCTCTGTATGCAGCAGTAATATTTCCAATGTGCGAGAGTTTTCCACCTGGTCCTGCATCAGAGCTACTAAGGAACAACAGACTAAAACTTTCCAGTCAGAACTGTTTTCAAATTCCCGGACAACTGGAAGGTACAGTTGAAACGGCAGTGACTTGCCAAAACCAGTCGGGAGTACAGCCACGCAGTTCTTCTTGTTAACAAAACACTCTAAAATTTCCTTTTGTTCCTTCTTTATATCATTCGCTCCCACGCGCGACATATAAACAACGAGGAGCAAGTGCGGAGATTTAATTTTAATTTTATTGAACCTATATGCTGAGAGTACCATGAGATGCTCACGCAGATCGTAGAGGTCACTAGCGTATTAGGTCTTATGAGGTCAAGTCATGGAATATATCCCTCTTATGGTTATTTGAAAATAATGGATATCTTAATTGTTTTTAACTGGAAATTAATATATTTGTGACATTTGGAATACAAACTTTACGATTTGATATAGTTTTTTGATGGATTAATATTCTAACGATGTAGCTTGTGATGGATAGTGTCACGTTGTCAGCATACATTTGTTAATGACATGGCTGAACATTCGAGCATTGACTCGGTATCGGAACTAACTGGCACGGCCAAGACTAGTTCAAAAAGTGACAATATTTTTAGCATTATGAATGACCACAGGCAACTTATTTCGCCAGGTTATGATAACAATATTAGTGGGTTTCAAGCAAGCATTGAAAACATTAATGTAGGAGGAGGAGCCATGAGCAATGCTCCTGTCACTCACACTCCGGAAGTAGTCACACCGGATATCTACAATATGCTACTGCAAAATCAATTGTATATCCAAACTTTGATGAAAAATCAGAATTCAAGAACTGATACTACACAAAGTTCCACAAAGGTAAATCCTAGACAATCGGCAACAATGGCCGGACCAAGAAAGGTCGTGAAAAATAAACCCACAAAGGATGATAACCAATCGCAACTGGACAGTTTGTTTGATAATGATATGAACAATAACCAAACTAAAAACATATCTGCACCGTCTGAATTATATTCAGATATTTCTAGTGACGAAAGTTACGATAGCGATGATGAAGCATGTTCTGAGAATGAAGTAGATAATGATATTGAAAAGGCAGAAAATGAAAATGTCTTAGAATCCATGAAAGACTTCATTAGTACAGATGAAAAGACAGGTCCAAAAATTAATTCTGGTTTAGCCTCATACATGAACCAGGGACTGAGGACACGAGTCAATGAAGAAAAATACAAAGATCTCACAAAGAAATATGATAAGCCTGCTAATGTGAGCAGTCTAAAAGTCCCACGAGTCAACATAGGTGAGGATTTATGCAATTAAATTGCATTTTAATAAAATTTTATCTTGTGAAAAATCAAGTGTATCTGCAAATAAATTTTTTATAATACAAACCATAATTTACATGGTAATAAATAATATAGTATTATAAATATAATTAAAAACTCACAATAATTAACATGATTATGCGAAATGTGTACACGTATAAATATTGCGTAAAAATCCTTTACATGTAATAATAATATACACATTATAAACTTTTAGTGTATATACTAAATTTATATTATAATTGTAGGTATTTGGAAACAAATGACACCACGGAATAAAGATGTGGATGTAAAATTACAACGTTTACAGAATCTTTTGTCTAAAACAGCTTGCCCATTGATGTATATGATGGATATGTTTGTGGATAAATCTTCAAAGAAAGAAGGAATGTCTAGAGAGGAACTGCAAGCATATGCAGTTACGTGCAGAGATACGTACCAGCTATTTCAAGCTTGTTATAGCGAAATAACCTTCAGACGAAGGAGTTTCATTAAGGGGGACATTCAACCCCAGTATAAAGGTCTGTGTGATGATACCACACAAGTCACTGACATGCTGTTTGGGGACGATATTAAGGAAAAAATCAAAGAGCTAGATGCGGAGCATAGTGTGTGTAAAAAAGTTGGGAAGGACCATAATTATACGTATGATAATCCCAAGAACTCATATCAGTCTTCTAACAGGGGACGTAGCCATCATGGCCATGGAGGGCGTGGATTTCCTCATAAATTTGGGAAAAGAAAACGCCACATTGATGGAGGAAAACCAATCAAAAGAATAAGGAAATATGATGATGATGGTTTTTTAGACCGCAGCAAGACATTCAACAAGAAGAAAAACAAAGACAAAAAGTAGATCATGTTATTTCTGATAGTGATGTAAGTACAAATGATCACTTGATTGACTTAACTGCTATAAAACTTCAAAATATTCCTAATAATTTTATTGGGGGGAAAATTTCAAAGTTTTTTCATCGATGGAAGGAATTAACATCTGACTATTGGATCTTAAATATTATTAAAGGTTATCAGTTAGAATTTGAAAACATTCCTACACAGCTTATAAAGCCATACCCACTTGTATTCAGCAGTGAAGAAAATGAATATGTACAAAAAGAAATAGATAAGTTTATTTCAAAAACAATTATTCAACCTGTTACTCCAATTAAGGATCAGTATGTTTCAAATATTTTTGTGAGACCCAAGAAAGATGGCACTTATCGAGTAATTTTAAATTTAAAACAGTTAAATCTTGATATTGAACAAATTCACTTTAAAATGGAAACTTTTAAAACAGCAATAACAAACATTACACAAAATTGCTGGTTTGGTTCTGTTGATTTAAAAGATGCATATTATTCTGTTAGCATCAATGAAAAAGATAGGAAATATCTTAGATTTTATTGGAATGAGGTTTTGTATGAATACACTTGTTTGCCAAATGAATTAACAACAGCACCGCGAATTTTTACAAAAATTTTAAAAGTTGTTTTTTCAAAACTGAGAAGTAAAGGACATTGCAACACACCATATATTGATGATAGTTTACTTGTGAGCAAGACCTTTTCTGGATGTCAAAGTAATATAATTGACACAGTACAATTATTAGATCATCTTGGTTTTACCATACATCCAGATAAATCTGTACTTCAACCTACTCAAATTATTGTATTTTTGGGTTTTGTGATTAATTCAATAACAATGTGTATTAGAGTAACAGAAGAAAAGGCAGACAATATAATTAAATTATGTAGTCGGTTAATTCTCAAAAAAGAGATTACAATAAGAGAGTTTGCACAAGTTATTGGAAAATTAGTAGCAACGGAACCAGGTGTACAGTATGCACCATTATATATAAAGTCTTTAGAAATTACAAAAGATATATTATTAAAACAAAATTATGAAAATTTTGATGCAAAAATGTCTTTGTCAGATGGAAATATTTCAGATTTAAATTGGTGGGTTAATAATATAAATAGTAGTTTCAAACCAATGACTTTAATAGATCCGATGTTTATTCTTAACACTGATAGTTCAAACACTGGTTGGGGTGCAGTTGTGCAAGATACATTGTTCGAAACCAAAGGGTTTTGGTCATATGAAGAACAGAAAAACCATATTAATTTTCTAGAGCTTAAGGCAGCATTTTTAGCATTAATTTGGTTTTGTTCGTCAAGAAACAACATTCATGTAAAAGTGTATCTAGATAACATGGTCGCAGTGAATTATATTAATAAAATGGGTGGCCGCATTGTAAAGTTAAACAATTTGACAAAGGAATTGTGGATTTGGTGTATACAAAGACAAATTTGGGTTACTGCTTGTCATTTGCCAGGAGTTGCTAATATAGAAGCAGATAGACTATCGAGATCAATAAATGTGGATATTGAGTGGAAATTGCATGATGATGTTTTTAATATTATTGATTTTTTATTTGGACCACATGATGTAGATTTGTTTGCATCAAAATTTAATCATCAATTACCACGTTATTTCTCTTACTTTCCGGATAAATATGCTGAAGCAGTAGATGCTTTTTCTGTAAAATGGAGTAACATTAATTGTTATTGTTTTTCACCTTTCAGTCTGATAGGGAAGATATTGCAAAAGGTGGACCAGGATCAAGCGGACATGACATTAGTGGCACCATTGTGGAACACTCAGAACTGGTTTCCACAAATACTTCATCGGATTGTGGCACAGTCATTTATAATAAACAGTCGAAAAAATCTTCTTTATCAACCCCAGAATCCAACAAAAGAGCATCATTTAGTGAAATTACGATTAGCAGTTTTCAGGATATCGGGGAAATCTTGCAAAATTATGGATTATCAAAAGAATCTTCCGAAATCATCATTGCATCTTGGAAACCAGCTACTCGACAACAATATTGGACATATTTCAAAAGATGGTTGTTATTTTGCAGTGAACGAAAAATTAATTCATTTAAAGCCACTGAGTTAAATGTTTTAGAATTTTTAACTTCGTTATATAAAATAGGTTTAGGTTACAGTGCTATTAATACTGCCAGAAGTATGTTATCTTCATTTATGTCTGTAAATCAAGAGAAAACTGTTGGGCAATGGCCATTGGTGAAGCGCTTTCTAAAAGGCATATTCAATCTTAAGCCATCATTACCCAGATATCAAAGAACCTGGGATGTTGAAGTCGTGCTTAAATATTTGAAGACATTAACACCAGTTTATATGTTATCTTTACGTGTTTTATCATATAAGCTAGTTACACTGCTATTATTGTTAACAGGTCAAAGGTTACAAACCATTCATAGCTTAGATTTAGATGATATAACTGTTACAGATAGTAACATATATATAGATGTGAGAAGTTTATTAAAATGTTCAAAGCCAGGGAGGCATTTACAACCAATAGAGTTGCCAGCTTTTATTGACGATAATAGTCTGTGTATTGTAACTGTTCTAAAAGAGTATTTAGTTAGAACATCATGTTTTCGGAAAACCCAAAAATTAATCTTGAGCTGTATAAAACCATATTCTCATGTGTCTAAAGACACTCTTGGACGTTGGGTTAAGATTGTTTTGCAAACGTCTGGTGTAGACATAACTATATACAAACCACATAGTACTAGATCAGCAAGTACATCTGCAGCACTACGGTGTGCTACTTCAGTAGATACTATTTTAAAAGCGGCAGGTTGGTCAAATGAATCAACATTCAGAAAATTTTATGATAAACCTGTATCTAAATAAAATTATAATGATAATTATAGTGTGAAGGTTTTGAGAAGTCATATTTTATCAAATTCTGATAAGTCTCATGTATAACATGAATAATGATAATACATATGTTAGATTTACAATCAATGACATTTTAAAGTTTAACATAACATGTGCATATGTCAATGTATGTTTGATTTACTTTACTTTTGTACTTTGATAGAATACAAAGTTGATACAACATCTTGTTTTTTAAAGCCTGAAAATAAATCATGATTGATGAGGCTGTAATAAATCACAGTGAACATGAGTAACAGATCACATATCTCTGAAATCTCATGGTACTCTCAGCATATAGGTTCAATAAAATTGTACAATTAAATGAGACTTACCTTAAGTCGAAATTTGATTGTAATTTTGTTGAACCTATTTATGCTGAGAGTTAACATGCCCTCCCTATCACTCGTATTCCCACCCAGTTTTCTTTTGGTGTATCATGTGCTTATGTGCTCTGTTACATTCTCTGAAAAGTGACCTCTACGATCTGCGTGCGCATCTCATGTTAACTCTCAGCATAAATAGGTTCAACAAAATTACAATCAAATTTCGACTTAAGGTAAGTCTCATTTAATTGTACAATTAGATTGCAAAGAAACAGGCCGGTAACAAGCGTTGCCGGATAGTTTTTCTGTCGCGCGTGGGAGATCTAACAACAGCCGCTTGAGGGTCATGTCTAGGGTCAAATTTGGTGAACTTTGACCGACCAATCAGCGTGCTGAAAATCAATTTGGTCTACATTAATGTCCAAAGGGTCCAAAATTAAACTTTGTTTGATTTTAGCAAAAATTGAATATATGAGGTTCTTTGATATGCTGAATCTAAACATGTATTTAGATTTTTGATTTTTGGCCCAGTTTTCAAGTTGGTCCAAATTGGGGTCCAAAATTAAACTTTGTTTGATTTCAACAAAAATTGAATATATGGGGTTCTTTGATATGCTGAATCTAAACATGTATTTAGATTTTTGATTTTTGGCCCAGTTTTCAAGTTGGTCCAAATTGGGGTCCAAAATTAAACTTTGTTTGATTTCAACAAAAATTGAATATATGGGGTTCTTTGATATGCTGAATCTAACCATGTATTTAGATTTTTTATTTGTGGGCCCCGCTATCAAATTGCTTCATATTGAGGTCAAAAGGGTCCAAAATTAAACTTTGTTTGATTTCATCTAAAATTGAATTATTGGGGTTCTTTGATATTCCAAATCTAACCGTGTATTTAGATTTTTAATTTTAAGTCCCGTTTTTTAAATTGGTCTACATTAAGGTCCAAAGGGTCCAAAATTAAACTTAGTTTGATTTTAGCAAAAATTGAATTCTTGGGGTTCTTTGATATGCTGAATCTAAACATGTGTTTAGATTTTTGATTATGGGCCCAGTTTTCAAGTTTGTCCAAGTTGGGGTCCAAAATTAAACTTTGTTTGATTTTAACAAAAATTGAATATATGGGGTTCTTTGATATGCTGAATCTAACCATGTATTTTGATTTTGGACATTGGACCATAATAGGTAAATTAAAAAAATTCAAGTTCTTAGACCACATTCTTTCTGTGTCAGAAACCTATGCTGTGTCAAATATTTAATAACAATCCAAATTCAGAGCTGTATCAAGCTTGAATGTTGTGTCCATACTTGCCCCAACTGTTCAGGGTTCGACCTCTGCGGTCGTATCAAGCTGCGCCCCAGCGAAGCATTTTATTAACGAAGTATCAAAGTGAATAACTTTTAATATCGTCCGTGTAAAATAAGCCCATCGTATTTTAATATATGCAATTGCGTTTTATACTGGGAAATAACAAAGTGATTTTAGCTGTATAAGTCCGTGTAATATAAGCCCATTGTGTATAATCAAGAAATTGATGTGCTCCTAACCACAAGAGGAAGTTACTGAAAGAAGAAGAAGAAGAATACAAAGGTTAGTATAACTTTAAGCATGCAGTGGTAGTAAGGCTTCAATAAATGGAATAGTCTATACTACATGTATAGTATTTAATGCCATTAAACACCTAATTTATATTATAATTATTATGTTGGCAGTGTTGTATAATAAAGATGTTTATAACACCTGAGAAATCAGTTAGGGGGTGACATGTTACCCCCCTGTACAGTGGAGGATCCAGAACTTTTTGTAAGGGGGGCTCCAGTCATGCTTCAGTGATTCCCTATATAATCAACTAAATTTTTCCCTCAAAAGGGGGGCCCAGGCCCCCCTGGATCCACCTATGCTGTTTGAGCTACTTATATAATTAATGCAATGACTCTTATCTTAAGACGTTATTCCCACACCTTATGGTGCCTAGATGCAGGGCCCCCTTTTCCATAGTCCTGGATCCGCATCTGACCAGGCAAAGATGTACATGTATGCCTTATCAAATAAAATAAAATTTATTTGCAGGAACATACATTTAAACTTCAGTATATCAACACATACACATGACTAACAGTAACAAAGCAGTAATATGAAACTTAGATATACATGAGCAAAGTTAAAAAAAACTGCAGAAGCAGTAGATCGTAGCCATGGTAGCACATAAATTTGTCTCATTTCACCGAGAACAGATTGTATCGGTCATATTGCCAGTATTTTACAGTCGTTTTGGCCATAATGCTAGTTCTTCATACTTTGTATAAAGATATATTATACTACATGTTGTATTAATGAAGCACCAGAGTCCAAGGGAAATGTTGTTAATTACATGTACTAATAATCTATCTCAAAACAAATATACATGCATATAAAAATAAGAAGATGTCGTACATGTACAAGACTATAATTGCCAACTCGACTCTCCACCAGACAACAAATGACAAAGTTTACAACTATAATAGGTCACCATCTGACCTTCAACAATGAGCAAAATCATACAGCATAGTCAGCTTTACATGGCCCAGAAACGTGCGGGAAACTTAATTTTTAAATTAGATTGTTATCTGTGTTAAACAATGAAAAAATAAAAGAAAATATGAAAAAGTGCAGTCTAAATGACCTTGTTGGATGGCCAAACAGGTAAGTTGGCAGAAACATCTCAAAATCGAGAAAATATGCCATGCATTCATTGAAATCTCAGCTATATTCATTTCTGTATTGGACTTTACAACAATAAGAATTATTTCATTGGATTTCAATCTTTAATCAAACGCAGTGAAATGGATAAAGGGTATTTGTACAGTGTACATTTTTGTGTACATTTAAATTATAGAAGTTATCATAGAAATATGTCTTTTTGGAGACTGCCCACCTACATTTTTTTTTTGCATTTTAGGATCATCCCCCCCAGAGTGACGATCGAATCAAAGAGGGGTTGATAGATGTCATTTTTGCATCTCCAGAAACATTGGTTGGTGATCCCTATTGGAGAACTTGTTTAAAGAAGTTGAACATTAAGTTGATTGTAATTGATGAGTTTCACACAATAGCAATTTGGTAAGTGGATACAATGTTTATTCCCCATGTTCATTTCTATTCGCACATTTACAGGACGTATTATGGTATACCGTTGTCTATATAAAAAAAGAATAGTGGTAGGATTGCCAATGAGACAACTCTCCACAAGAGACCAAATGACACAGAAATAAACAACTGTAGGTCACCGTACGGCCTTCAACAATGAGCAAAGCCCATACCGCATAGTCAGCTATCAAAGGCCCCAAAATGACAATGTAAAACAATTCAAACGAGAAAACAAACGGCCTTATTTATGCACAAAAAATGAATGAAAAACAAATATGTAACACATAAACAAATGACAACTACTGAATTACAGGCTCCTGACTTGGGACAGGCACTATACAGAATGTGGCAGGGTTAAACATGTTAGCGGGATCCCAACCCTCCCCTAGCCTGTGACTGTCTGTCAATCATCAACATGTCAGACAGTAACTCAAAAACTATTCAACGAATTTGCATGAAACTTTGATGAATTGTTTCTATATATTGATGTGTACTCCCTTCCCGTTTTTATGAATTTTAGATTTTCAAAAATATAGAAGTAAAAAATTAAGACCACTGGTACAGAACTGTACAGCTTTCAAGAACGAGATAACCTAATACTAAAAAGTAAGCTCTTTTAAGACCACTACTTGCAAAATGTTGAACCATTACAATGTAATTATAAGAATGTATGAAAAATAACACCCTAAATAAATGTGCTAGACAGCAACCAACAACAACCACTGAATGATAGGCTGTTACATAACAATATGGACATGCACATACATGTATTTATTTTTGTTTTGCCATAAGAATTAACAAACTAGGCAAGAGGTGCTGATATTTACCTTTTATAAAAGTTTTTATAGATGTACTTATTTCTATTTTTCTTTCAGGGGCCAAGATGAAGGAGACAGAAAAGAGGCTTTCCGAAAATGGTTTTCAAATGTAGGTGAACTAAGATCCCTCTTTCCCAATGCTACAGTATTGGCTTTAAGTGCAACTTGCACTGTAAGCTTTAGGAAAAAACTCATGAAAATATTGCAGCTAGGGGAGGACACAACAGAAATTAATTTATCACCAAACAAGTCTAATATTAAACTAGTATCTTCCAAAATTAAAAATGAAATTGAAATGGGAATGACATGGTCAGTAGATGCATAAGAGGAAAAAAGACAGGACTTCCCACGTACACTTTTGTATTGTTCATCGATAAATGACACTTCCAAACTTTATAAATACATTGTAACAGATTTGCCACATTGTGCCAAGTATATTGAGATGTTCCATTCTGAAACTCCAGATGTTAACAAAAACATTATAATTAATGCATTGAAGGAGGAAAGTAGTGTTTTGAGACTTATTTTGTCAACCAGTGCCCTGGGAATGGGTTTGTGTAGTGGAGTGGTATTATTTGGACCTCAAAATAATCTGGTAGATTTGCTGCAAGAAATAGGGCGAGTGGGGAGTGATGGAAATCCATCAGTTGCCATTATCCTATACAATGGATACCACTTGCAGAAGTTGAAACCGGAAGTTAAGGCAATTCTTAAAGCTAAAGATTGTAGGAGAAAGGATCTGATGTGTAATTTTCTCAGAAATTCAGACTTGGATGATTTGATGAAGAAAGAAAGCAGGAAGCATTCATGCTGTGACTTGTGTGCTAAGTCTTGTAATTGTGAATCCTGTGATATGTTACCTCTTGAGAAGTTATTTCTGTCAGAACAAGTTGTTGAGGAGCAAGAAGATTCT